CCAACGGTTGCAGCAAGGACCCCCTTGACTGAGTCCAAATGCCTCGTCGACAAAGACAGCTGCTCCCCCAACACAGCCGCAGATTCCTTCTCAGAGGCCAGCTCTCGCCGGAGACCCTCGGCCAACTCATTCGCCCTGTGGGCCTGCTCAGCGGACAAAGCTTCCGCATCCCGGGCCTTGGCGAGATCGGCCCTCAAAGCCTCCTTTTCTTGTTCCTTCTCCGCCAGAGAAAGGCGGAGAGCTGCAAGGGAGTTGGCCAAACCCCCTTTTTCACCTTCCAGGCGCTCGTTCTCCACCTTGAGGGCCTCAATCGCAGTATCTCGGTCGAAGACCTCGCGAGTGCAGTGATCTTCCATAACAACGGCCGTGTGATACCCCTGCGATCAGAAAGAAGAAGGCCAAGGCGATCAGCAATAGAAACAAAAACAAGTCTAAAGGCGAACATATACCAAAAAAGGCAAACCGCCGAAGACGCACCAAGCTCTGGTGTTCTAGATGAACACGGAGAAGTTGGAAGAAATCCATGTCCCTCAGACGTTGTTTGAAGCAATCTGTTCAAAGAAGAACAAATAAACACAAAACAATAAGGTGAGAAAAGCAAATCTCACAATAAATACACCAACTGCCAGAGACCACCTCCGACGTCTCCAAGAACCCCAAGATAGCACTCTTCCCAACCTGAGATAGAAGTGTCGGAGGAGCCTGCGTAGCAAAAAAAACATAACAACAACAACAACTCAGGTCAGAGGGCCGATCAGAAATAGGCAATAACAACAGGCCAAAAGACGAGTAAGATAAAAACACTATATACTCACTCGGACCCAGCGCCATCAGCCCCGGTTGCCCCGGACCAAACCTGACGCTGGCAGCGGCTGCTCGCTCCTCCGGGGTGAGGAGTCCAGCCATGACATCACCTACAAAGCAACAACTACACGGTATTAGCACTTGATACAATACATAAACAAATAAACCGGGCGAAGACTGTAAACACAAAAATATGCGCCAAACAAACTTACTCATAAAAAGCCTAGGTTGGGCCGCCTGCCGATCCCCCTGGGCAGATGTCTCCACCATATCATGTGGCGAAGGCCCAAAGGGCTGGCTCTCCTCAGCCAGCGGCCTGGCGGGCGGAGAGCTCGAAGAAGACTGAGCCGTCGGCGCCTGCTCAGCAAGCACGATCTCCAGCTGCCCGACGTCTGCCGCTGGCGCGGAGGAAGACGCAACAATGGCGGGAAACGAAGGAGCGTGCTGCAAGGTGACCTCCGCGCCATCTTCAGAACTTGAATACAGCCCGCCAAAAATGTTAGGCATAGGATCGGCGGCGCTAGCCTCCGGCTGTTCGGCGACACTCGCAGCACCGTGCAAGGAGCACGCCGGAGCAGCGCTGGCCTCTGGACGCCTAGCACCGCTCATAGCGCTGCTCACAGGGCACACCGGAGCTCCAGGAGAGCCGCGATCCTCACCGCTCGTGACCTGCACGTCCACTGACGGGACGGAGGAGCTCTGAACGTCTTCACTACCGGCGGAGGCAACGCCAGCACTACCGGCCGAAGACACGGCCGCCGCGATCACCAGAGCACCGGTCTTCTTCTTCTTTTTCGCAGGCGCCTGAGTTACAGCGGCGCCCTTCCTCTTCTTGGACTCGGCCTCCGCCGTAACATTCTTCGCAAAGGCCTTCTTCTTCTTATCAATTGAAGCTAGGACCTCGGCGGGAACCTCGCGCTCCCGGTAGACGATCCCGAGCTCCTCAAAAACACGATTGAGCCGCGGCATGGTGCCTGCCATGGCTCTCTGAGACGTGTACTCACGCTCAGAAATTTTGCCAACCAACCCGACGGTGGCCTCCTCAACGTCGGCAACGAAGCTGTCCTCCGTCACCCCCTCCCCTAAAGACCGGCCAAAGCGAGGGAAAGGAATCCCGGCCTCCGGACCAAAAACAGGAACCTTCACCTTTTCCAGCTGAAAGGCCGGGTTGTCCTTGCCCAGGGGCCAGTAGTTGGAGGCCATAATCTCCTCCACCAGGTCGCGGCCCCCTAAGTAGCGGCACGCAGCCGCAAAAGTCCGGTCGCAAGCCTTCCTCGCCGAAGACTTTTCCTCCGGCGGATCCACGCGCGTATGCGGCGCCATCTCCTCCATTCTTGAAGTCAATGGATACTCCACGACCTCCGCACCATCCTCGGTAGTGCCGCGGACCTCGTAGGTCTTCACGTAGAACCACTGCTCAAGCCAGCCGTGGTCCCACTTGCCCTTCTGGCAAAAAGAAAGCTCCAGGCGGTCTACGCCTTGGTTCCTCTTCGACATAAAGGTGCAACTACCATACTGGTAGGTCACCTCCACCTCCTTGCCCTCCTGCACCTCCTTCTTCTTCGGCTGCTTCTGCAGCTCGTAGTACGCGCAGAAGGTGTCCACATCCGGCTCGGGACCATAAGAAACAGACGCCCAGCAAAATTTGCTGAGCGTAAGGAAGGCCGTAGGGGTCAGATGGTGAACCTGGACGTTGAACGTCTCTAACACCCGGCGGAGGAAGGGGACGTAAGGAAGGCGGAGGCCGCAGGTGAAAAAGTCTCGAAACACCACCGCATACCCCTCCTCCGGCTCCGGAACGGTCTGGCCGGGCGGAGGGATTTTTACCCTCGAAGAAGGAAAATACGATTACTTCAACATCTCCGCGATCGACTCTTCAGTAATGGAGGAGGGGCCGAAATCCCATGACTTTATCGCCATGTCTCTGGAATCCGCAGCGATCAGGTCTCCGACGGACGCGGAGACACTCCCCAAATCCTCCTCCACTAGCTTTTCAAATTCCAATGCAGAGGCGGAGGCAAGCATGCACTCCTCAAAGCGCGCACTCCAGCCGGCGGCCCTAACGCCGAGAAGGTGGCGATAGGGTCCGAAGAAGGCGGGTCGGCGAGTATGGGCGGAGGCGAAAAAGGAAGCCACCGCGGCGGCAGCCTAGGCGGAAGATGGAACGCGCGAAGGCAGCTTAGGCAAAACCGAAGAGAGCAGAGAGCGATTTCTCAGAGGCAAGGAAAGCGAATGAGCAGTGCGGGGGGACCCCGCAACCAACCCCGCCCTTATATAGGACGCGGGCGGGCGGTTCAGCTACCGCCGTACAACGTTCATCTCTGGTCAATTCGCCTGCCGCCCAACGGTCATCTCCGAAGAAGTCGCAAGGTATACAACGGAAAGCAATACGGCGTAAACGGCCACAGCGTAGGACAACGGCTAGTTTTGCAGCCTAACGGCTATTATGACAAGACCAGCGGCCACGCTAGAGCGGGCCAGGGGGGAACCTACGGGGATCGGTCGAAGACGTGACTACGCGCAGTCTCCGCCCCCGCGGACGTCCTTGCTTAGGGCATTTTGAGTTCACGACACGCTCAGGGCGGACCGTGGTCTCAAAAGGGGGGAACTGTTGTAACACGGCCTCCGAGAGTGGCGGAGACCTACACGGCCAGCAGTTCGTAGAGACGTCTCCGACCGACTACCTAAGCAAAGGCCCGGCTACCACGCCTCCAGACCCAGAAAGATGACGGTTTCTCAGACTGCTTGCAGGACGCCGCCGGTGACCCTGGCGCAGCCTCCGCCCGGTTAGCTCGTAGGCGTCTCTGGCCGGAGGGGGCGGAGGCCGCCCCGCTGCAAGGCTAATCAAGTGCCAACGTTATCTACGTGTGTGTGCAGGAAACCAGAGGAATGCGCTCGTGGACGACGCAGGCGCACCGGTTTGGCCTCCGCTCGCAGGGGCAGAGACCCAAGCAGGAGGATGACAATACTAGGCGTCGGGGGTCTGCGGCCTCGGCGTCCCAGGGGCGGAGACCGATGACGGAGGCCTAAAGGCCCATCGCCGAATCCTGAGGCCTAATGGGCCGGCTGATCGCGTAGGCCCAGTACCTGAGGGCGGCAAGACAAGATTACCCCCAAGAAGAAAGGCGAGTAGTGGGATATTCCGAGAATGTACTGTAGCAGTTGAAGGGTACTATTGTAAACTCTGTAAAAGTGGTAGTTGAGCCCTATAAATAGGGAATACTTGTACCTATAAATAGGGAACACTTGTAACAGTACGGGAAGTTGGTGAATGAATTAATGAAACCCTAGTTTTACGTGTCATTTTCCCTACACGCCCGATTGTCATGTCTGTTTCCCAAGCCTCAGCCTGAGGGCAGCGCTTGGCGGGCGGAGGCCTCCACCTCCTCCACATTGTCTAAGACCGTAGTCTCAACAAAAGCCCTATTCGTTTGTCTTGTAAACCGTACTTTTTTAGTCAACGAACAGTATTTTTCTCTCACAACAAATCAGCTAACAATACTTTCAACCATGGCTTATCAGCCAAACGACGCATGTTACCGAAAGAAACCGTACCGACCCGTTGTAAAAAGAACGATCAAGGCGCATGTTACCGAAAGAAACCGTACCGACCCGTTGTAAAAAGAACGAACGGGTCGTTGTACCTGTCACCGCTAGTCCACCAAAGTCCATGTGAGCAGCAAGAACAGCTTCATCATCCAGGACGATCACGGCCTCTGAACCGTGCTGTGACAACTGCAAAGTGTAACCGTTCGCGGCAAGGACGAGCAAGACTCGGCCAAGCGGCAAGCACAAGTCGCGCAACAACTCTGCCGTGCACCTGTATCACCACTCACTCACCAACTAGCAGGGAAAAAAAGAAGGCATGGCCTAACTGTAACAAAACAACTCTGTTCAGTTGTTTTGTTCAGGACTCAACAAGACTGACACTAACATTGCAGCACTCATCAGGCAGTATCAGCATGGCACACAACATGCGAACATTCACTTATTCAGATGCAAGCCAGCCCGAAGGCATCATATCATATCCATAAGAGAAGAATTAAGAGTGCTAGCTCAAAGCATGCAAAATAAGTCCACGTTTCAGACAGGAAAAAGATGCGGCAATCATGTCTTTGATATATGGTAGTAAAAATAGCTGACGATAGAATCTGCCCATTGCATCACGAAGCACCACAGACAGGGAGGGGCAGCGTTCAAGGTGACTTGCTTCCTGCTGGGGAACCACCGCCGGCAGCATCATCATCGTTGTTACCATTGCCCTTGGAGCTTGGGCTATGGTCAGCCCTGGGGCTTGGGCTACGGTCACCTCCAGGACTCGGGCTCTGCCCATTAGCTGCAGGGCTGCGGTTACCACCGGATGGGCTGCGGCTCCTGCTCCTGCTCCTGCTGCTGCTGTTTTCCCTCCCTTTGGGGCTGTCGCCACGGTCTGAACCATTGCCATCGCCATTATCCTTTGGTGGTGGGCTCATCACCTGATCCTGGGGGCTGCGACTCCTTGGGCTCCTGCTTCCATCAGGTGTGGGGCTGCGCTCCTTTTCCTTTGGAGGTGGCGAGGCAGATCGCATGGGGCTCCTGCTGTAGCTAAGGCTCCTTGATCTCCTATCGTCACGGTCCCGGCGACCTCCCCTAGGAGATCCAGACAGGGATCTCGATCGGCTGAGGATAATAACAGGGGAATATTAAAACAAGCCATATAACAAAAACCAGGTACCAGAGAAACACCAAAAAAACAACCAATACAAACAAACAGCTCAATTGCTCAAGGAAAAAACATGATACCTATAGCTCCGGCTCCTGCTCCTGCTCCTGCTTCTGCTTCTGCTATAGCTTGGACTGCGACCCCTTCCACGGCGTGGAGATGGGGACTGTGAGTAACTTCTTTCATGCCTGAAATATACATATTCATCAAGATCATTTTCAAGTAATAACGTTAAAGAAAGGCTACGGTTCAACAATTTATGTTAGATAGCATTAGACTGGAGGACAAGAATATTATCTGTATAAGCACCTGACACTCCTAGGACTGTTCTGGCAATTTCTTTCTATATGCCCTCTTTCTCCACAACGGTAGCATTTGTTTTTCCAGTCACCAGCCTTACAGTCTCTTGCCCAATGACCATCAATTCCACAGTTGAAACAGCGACCTGTACCTGGTGGAGGGCCTCTTCCCATATATTCACGTGAACCACCTGGCCCACCTGGGACCTGCAAGCACAAGTTATAAACAAGATTGTAAGCAAGTCCAATATCAAAATACAAATGATAATTTGAGTGATAAAAAAAAGGGGAAGATAAGAACTATAATCAGTTCATTCAGAATTGAAGAGGCAACTTACCCCTTTGGCAAACTCAACAACAATGCGACTCCCATCAACATCCCTGCCATCTAGTTGGTATCGAGCCTCATCAGCATCACGATGATCACTGAACTCCTGTATAGTAATTTGGAACAGAGCAAAACAGACAAAACCATGTATATAAAAAATATATTTTCCACACAATAACAAGTATGCTAACACAGAAATTATAAATAGCTACTGAATTAAACTGAGGTAGGTAAAATTAACGCACAATAAATGCATAGTCGCGCTTCAACTCCACTTCTCGTATTCTGCGCAAAGGGTTGCCACAAACAGTAAGCCGTCATGAGTCAAGTACTCAAATGCATCACCAACTTGGAACTTCCACTAAAACAGTCAATAACATTTACACCAAGGGCACCCTTCACCAAATGGTCACCAAGTCCACCAAGGGCACCCTTCCACCAAAGACCTCCCGGTAAAAACCGAAAAACCTTCAACAAGATCATTCAAGTCAAACACACAATTTCTGAGGGGGCAAACTTCTAGATTATGTAAGTAACAGAAACTACCAAAGACAATGGTTTGGAGAGAGACTCAACCGCAAGTAACTTGAAGAGACTCAATAGTATCACTGAACCCAGCACTTGCTAAAAATGCCTATGAAAAGGGTAATAAGGGGCTCCTAGCTTACTAGGCTCTCCTGTTTATCAGATGGTTTTCACCTCCACCAGTTCAGAACAATCACTGTTTACCAACTGATAGCAAATTTAACAAGTAGCTTATATACTTTACCTGACACCTGATTATCAACTACTTATTAAAAGAGCAGAACACCCTCAGTAGTACATTCTACAGACCAGACATAACGACAGCCCAAATGTTTCACAGAAATCAAGTATCCTGACTCGATTTCCCATGACAAGCTATAGGTTCATAGCACAAAGCTTGTGTTTACCATTATAACAAATTATCACATTTTTTGGACAGAAGTACAGCATTGCAACATTCTTATACTTCTGGATACTCTTGTCAATCTCTGAGTGAGCATAGTGCTGTTCTTACCTTCCATATCTGCCGAACAGATATTCTAAATCGCGGGAACGAGTACGAGGGGCCAATCTGCCAACATACAAGCGCGTGCCTCCATAGCGGTCATCATAGCGAGGCATATCTCCTGTCAACAGGAAAAATACTTATCAGTTGTTGCTTCATCAAGAAATTAATGAATATTAATGAATAAAGTGATAGAACACAACTACACCGAATTGAATTAACAATACGGTTGAGCGATGACGAGTGGTGGGAGTACAAACAATCTATCAGAGCCCTATATGAATGGTAGGTGCTAGACCAGAAGATTTCCACTGTCGCCTTGTAAAGTCTCTGATGACAGCGCATATATCCATAGCAACCTCACATCACAAGAGAAAATTGACAAAGCTGGCGACTGCAATTGCAACACGGAGCCCCCGAGAACCACTATACAGAAATTGCTATGTGAACAGTACCATCCGATACAATTGATCCCCAAGGGATTGGGCTCAACAGTATTTGCCCTTCGCTAAAGGTCTGAAGCCTCATTATTTCATTGCGAGAAGCAGTTGTCACTAGTTGCCAGCTGCAATACAGTCGCAACACTATGCAATTCAAGGTAACAGAAACTAAAAAATCAATAGAATTCCCCGACCTTACTCGACCGAAACAGTCTAGTCCTGCAACAAAACCCTGAGCAAGAGAGTATCAAGAAAGATGGCAGCAGAAATTGCAACTTGTACGGCCCCATGGTGCTCATCAATTATGAGAGCAACCATACAGGAATTTCTGTGTGAACAATAGCATATAGGTCTGTGTGAACAGTAGCATATAGATTTGGGCTCAACTGTACTAGCCCTTCATCAAAATAATGTCTAAAGCCTCGTGGTTTCATTGCAAGGCTATCTCCGTTGCTGTCCCTAATCCCCCAAAGGTAATACAGCGAGACAGTGTTCAATTCGAGGTGACAGAAACTAAAATTCGCACTAGATACCCTCCACCTCACCCGACCTAGAACAGCCTAATCCCCCAACAAAACCCTAAGCGACCCTCGAAAACCCTAGCGACTGTAGATCGGGCGAGCCAAAGGCTCAAGTCACAAATACCCGCGTCAAACTGCGCGCGGGGTGCCCGGGGGTTCATCTGGACCCTAGAATCGCTTCTGGAATACAAACAACGACGGGCGGGCACGCGACCGCCGCCACGTAGCGCAGCAAGCCAGAATTGAACGAACGTCCCGAACTCCCGATTCGCGGCCCCGCGGGACGCGGAGAAAGACGCGACCCGCCGTGGAGAGCGAGCGGTACGGCGCACGCTCGGCGGCGGGAGACGAGAGAGGAGGGGGCGGCGGGAGGATGGGGGTACCTGGATCTGGGCGGAGACGGCGCGCTGGAGAGCCGGCGGCGCGCGTGAGGAGGGAGGGGACTAGGGGGGGGGAACGGATGTCGTGGTGGGAGGAGGGATCTGAATTCTACTAGAGCCTCGGGGAAACTGAAGCCGGAGGCGGTGGAGCTGGAAACGTGGAATCATCCTCCTCTTGTCGTGCAGGGCCGGGGCGAGCTGGAACGGCTGATGGGCCTGCTCCGCGTTTCTCCCGACGGGCCGGAACGGAAGGCCTGGGCCTGGCCTAGTCAGCACCAGCCACGAGGCGAGTAGCGAGCTGGAGTCAGACCAGACCAACCATATCTGTTGAGATCTCATATCTGTTCCCCACCCCGCTCCTCGCACGCCCTCTCCCCAAAATTCCTCCCCTCCGCGCCGCCGCCGCAGGAACCGGAAGCGCGTACCTCGATCCAGATCCAGGTACATCGTGCACCTCCGACGCCCTCTTTCTCCTCAAGTTGTGCTAGTTTCCCCCGTCGTCTTCCCGTTGGTTAGTTTCTTTTTTGCTGGTGAGGACCCCGTGGCTTGCTTCGGCCGCTTGCTCTTCGTGTTCCGCTGGATCTCCGCTCTGTAGCGAGCCCTGGAATCCATCTTTTTTTGAATCGTCTCGTCTTGTTTGCGGCGGATTTATTTTGCCTTCTATTTTACGTTGGAGTTGGATTTGCTGCGTGCTGGAATATCCGATTTCCTGGGCGCCCCGCGTTGTTTTGAGGAATTTGTAAATTCCCGCTCCGTGCTGGCCGTCTGTGGTAATTTCCGGGCGACAGGTTCCAGCTTCTTTGCTGCGGAGCTATGATTTGCCTGTCCGGCGTGTTGCTTAGGGTTTTGCTGTGGGACGATTTCGCGCGGATCTCAGATTCATTTACTACCTCACGTCCTCAGCGATAGGGGTCTTTACAGCTTGATGAGTAAAAGGCGTATGTGATGGCTCCTGATTTCTACTTAGTGTCTTAGCTAACTTGATATATGGTGCGAGCTGGCTTCAGTTTCTTATTACAGCTTGCGATGTTAGATGCTGCAACTGCTGTGATGTTCCAACTGCGGACTGCCATATAGTTGTTAGTTGTGTAGATTGAGCCTCGGTTCGATTTTCTACTAGTTGGCTTGTCGGATTAATTGGAGGGTTCAGATTTATGTTTGTACTCTATTTACTGTCTCTTAACTACAGGGTTCAATCATATTGTGTGTACTTAAGCCTGATTTTTTACTTTTTTTCGTTATAAAATATACTGATGGAAGCTTCTCATTTGTTCAGGAGATATGCCTCGCTATGATGATCGCAATGGGAATACACGCTTGTATGTTGGAAGATTGGCTCCCCGCACCCGTTCCCGCGACCTAGAATATCTTTTCAGCAAATATGGAAGGTAAGAACCGCCTGCGCGGAGAGTTGCTCTGAAGCTCAGTGCTACTTCTTGTTATGAGGGTCAGACACCAGTTCTGTGCTAGTGCATATCACGAGCAGGTCATGCTAACTCTGCGTGGTTAAATTTTGTTGTACACAGCTACATATCGATCCAGCTAAAATACACTAGCAAAGCTAGGGTCCTTCCTATTTTGTTCTTAATAGGTGGTTTATGAAGGTGTTGGGTTTTGTGATGCCTGAAGTCATTCTGAAGTTTTTGTGGGTGGGGCCATACAATTCTTTTTTTCTTGGTGTATGCTCTGTTCATCACTAAGCACAACATAGATGTTTGACCTCCGGGCCTTTTTGACTTGAATGATCTTGTTGAAGGTTGTCGGTTTTTTACACAACCATGGAGGTCTGTGGTGGAAGGGTGCCCTTGGTGGAATTGGTGGCCATTGTTCCGAAATTTGTGGAGGACTTTGGTGAAGGGCGCCCTTGGTGTAATCTTATTGACTGTTGTAGATGAAGTTGCAAGTTGATGATGCATTTGAGTACTTGACTCATGTCAGCTTACTGTTTGTGGAAACCATTTGCGCAGAATACGTGAAGTGGAGTTGAAGCGCGACTATGCATTCATTGTATGTGTTCTTTACTACCCTTAGTTCAATTCTGCAACTGTTAGCATTTTAATGTTAGCGTACTCATATTATGGAAATTGAGAAAACACAATTATTTTACATTTTGTATTCTTTATTTTGTCCCTTGGTTAATTGCAAAACAGGAATTCAGCGACCCCCAAGATGCTGATGATGCGCAGTACAACCTAGATGGCAGGGAAGTTGATGGAAGCCGCATTATTGTTGAATTTGCTAAAGGGGTAAGTTGGTGTCCTATCAAAATCTCTCTGTTTATCAAGCTTCTGCTGAAACGAGCATATGGATATTGAACTTATGATTTTCCAAAATAACTCTTGTTTGCAGGTTCCTCGTGGTTCTGGTGGTTCACGTGAATATATGGGAAAAGGACCTCCACCAGGAACAGGTCGTTGTTTTAACTGTGGAATTGATGGTCACTGGGCAAGAGACTGCAAGGCTGGTGACTGGAAGAACAAATGTTACCGCTGTGGCGAAAGGGGCCATATAGAAAGAAATTGCCAGAACAGTCCAAGGAGTCTCAGGTGTTTATTGATATAAGCCTATTCAGCTACATTCCGCTGCCATATGGCACTTAATCACATTTTAGCTTAACATTGAATGCTTTTACTAAGCATTTGCTTGATAAATATGTTTAGGCGTGAGAGAAGCTATTCACGGTCTCCATCCCCACGCCGTGGACGGGGCCGCAGCCAGAGCTACAGCAGAAGCCGGAGCAATAGGTATGCTCAGGAAAGGAAACCCCTCATGTGTTATTTCTCTATAGGCTTTTTCGATTGTGTTAGTTGTTTTTTATTCTTTTTTATCTTTCATTTCTGATTGTAAACCAGCTTGTGTTAACAATCCTTCTATTACAATCAGCCGATCCAGGTCCCCATCTGGATCTCCGAGGGGTGGACGCCGTGACCGTGACGAGAGGAGATCAAGGAGTGTTAGCTACAGCAGGAGCGCAAGCCCTAGGCGTTCTGTCTCTCCTGCAAAGGAAAAGGAGCGCAGCCGCACACCTGATGGCAGCAGGAGCCCAAGGAGCCCCAACCCAAGGGATGATGTGAGCCCACCACCAAAGGATAATGGTGCACGCAACGGCTCAGACCGTGAAGACAGCCCTGGGACCAGGGAGAACAGCAAGAGGAGTAGGAGCCCATCTGACAGCTACCGTAGCCCTGCGGCCAATGGGCGCAGCCCGAGCCCTAGGGATGACCGTAGCCCAAGTCCCAAGGGCAACAACGGCGATGATGAGCGCCGTGGCTCACCAGGAGGAAATCGGTCCCCCTGAACTGAAAAGCTCCCAACTAATTTGGGACGCAGTGTGCCGATTCGGTTTCAGTCTGAGACAGCAAACTGTATTTGCTCATTTCTAAGACTTATTATGCCTTTTGAGCTAGAAACTTGTGTAAGAATTTGTTGCCCTAGGGCTATGCCTGGTTTGTGATATGGTGATATTTGAACTATTTAGCCTGCCAAATCTGAATATTGAACTGCCAAGTATCTTGAGTGAGTTTGTCTGCTTGGTAAGTTGCAATGTTTCTCTAACTATCTTGGAATGCATGGTTTTAAACTCAAGGATGCAAGTGCAAATCTCCAATTTATATTTCAGTGATTGCCTGAACGGTTTTCTCTTCACGAGGATTATTCGACTTCTGTTTGCATGAATCTTTAACTTGAGAGGGTGCAGATTGTCACTTGCAAGGATAACTCAATAACTGATATGGTGGTGAAGGTTGAAGAAGTTACCTGTAAAATCTCAGCCGAAGCCGTCTTTTTCTCAAAGAGCCGTAGCACTGTAGCATCTATGGTCGTCGAACCAGGATCCCCCCACCCCAGGTTTGTCATGTATATCTCCGTTGTACCTATAATTTTCGACTGGATTCAAACACGTACCATTTCTTGTGTTACTCCTGGAGTGGACACACAATCACTGCATGCATTTGAGCTGGCACAGGGCTTTTGTGGTTGCAACAAATTCCATACATCGTTTTGGAGGAATCTGACCTGAGCCAATCTCCTACACAGGAAGAACGTAAGCCCACTACTACAACTACTACCACTACAAGTAGTATGCCCAAAAGTAAACAAAGCAGGCACGGTGCATTCGGCGTGCGTCCCCGCCCGATGATGGATCCGAGAGAGAGATGCCTACGACCGTGCAGATTTCGTGGCCAAGCCTCCGACATTCGTGGCGTACATTTGGGCTCTGGAATATGAGTAGATGTAGATGGTCTCTATTTCAGGCACAGGTTCTAAGTGGCCAAACTTCCGGCCAGGGAATTCACTATTGCCATCTCTAACCAGAATATAAGCCACGGATAACTTGGCATGTTCCTTCAATTTTATTATGTTCCTTTCTTCCTATGTCCCGATAATTCTTGTACCGAATTATAGGGGCGACTGCGGTTTATGAGAACAGAAGTAGAGATCTGCTAAGGGCCTGTTTGGTTCACGGGAAAAGCATAGGAAAAATGAAGGAATCAAGTTCCTATGATTTTTTTCACTGTAGTCGCGTTTGGAACAAAGGAATGAACGGTTACATTTTCTTTGGAATGGCGAGCAATCCTCTGCTTTTTGGAGGAAAAAAAACATCCACGCTGAGCCGATGGAATTTTTCCTGCGGCGCTTGCGTGCACGCTCAGGGGCTAATCAAGCTCATGATGATGGGTGCTGCAGTTTACAGTAGCCATTGAGTGAAGATGCATGCATCTCTATTTTTTTATTGGCCCCGTTCGCGTGCCCTTAAATTCGGCTTGATCCGCTTCTTTTTTCATCTGGAACCGTGTTTTTCTCTCACAAATTCTTCCAGCATTCCTCCAAACCATCCAAATTCCTCCAGAATTCCTCCAAGCGAACAGGCCCAATTATCTACATGTATTGATTAGACAAAAGTAAGTGGTTGCATCATACGTCCATGTAGCACACTTTTTAGGATACTACACCTGCTAATAAGTAGTTAGCTCTTATTTACTCTAAACAACTATGCTTACTGTAAACCAATAGATTCCTATGTTATTAGTATTCCTGTGTTCCAAACACCAATTTCTATAAAAATCCTGTATTTTTCAATCCTCTGTTTTACACCTCTATTCCTTTCATATTCATGTGTTTTCTCCGATTCCTACATTTTACATTCCTCTGTTCAAACAGGCCATAATGGCTAAAAGGATCCACCTTCATAATCCATTTCAAGGCAGATGTTCAAGGCACCCCGATCGGGCGCATGCCGAGCCCCGAAGGCCGTCAAGCTAAAGGTGCTTGATGTGTGTAACTGTTTATTATCCGAAATATATACTCCACGTTATATTAGACCTAAATATTTGTTGTAAAAAGGCTCCCTGGTCCGAATTATTGGGATTTATATGATATATGACGATGTGGCGTGTCCGCGCGTGGTGAATCCGTTTGACTGTGCTTAGTGCTCGGTAGCATACTTGCAGTGGTACTGCTTTCAACATCGTATACTGAAGCAGTGGTAGTAGTACCACTCGTAGAAATGGCATGAAGAGCCCACGGTTTTTGGCGATTGCAAACTAAAATAGCAGAAAAAACTCAGAGAAATGGCACGAAGAGCTATCCATTCTTGGCTATTGCAAACTAAAATGCCTCAAGAAGATTCTTGGCTATTGCAAACTAAAATAGAAGAAAAGTATGCATGACTACACCGAAGTGTTGCAAACCTATGTGTGTGTGTGTGTGTATATATATATATATATATATATATATACACACACACGGACTGTTCTGTAGCTGGTCGCAGAATAAGTTATTTTGTGGCCACTTTGAGTTACGATAATTACTATACTAATTTACGAGATTATGGTAACTTTCTTATAAGTGATTTACTATAGCATTATGGTAAGTATCATATTGAATTATAGTAATACATGTATCGTAAATGTGTATTGTCATTATCATAAATTGGTACAAACATTATCGTAAATCAAGGTGGCTATAGAATAAGTTATTCCGTGGCCAGCTGTAGAATAGCCTTACTATATATAGACGTATTGTTCTGTAGCTGGCCGCAGAATAAGTTATATATAAGGCTATTCTGCAGCTGGCCATAAAATAACTTATTCTATAGCCACCTTGATTTACCATAATGTTTGTACCAATTTACGATAAGATGAATATGCATTTACGATACTCGTATTACTATAACTCACGGTGATATTTACCATAATGTTATAGTAAATCACTTAGTAAGGAGTTATTATAATCTGGTAAATTAGCATAGTAATTATCGTAACTCAAATTGGCAACAGAATAAGTTATTCTATGGCCAGCTGCAGAACATATATATATATATATATATATATATATATATATATTACCTTGTAACTGGCTACAAAATAACTTATTCTGTAGCCATTTTGAGTTACGATATATCAATACATATTGAATTATCGTAAATATATATATGGAGAGTATATTCAGTAGCCAGCTACAAAATAAGTTATTCTGTAGCCATCTCTATTTACGATAATTTTATATACTAATTTACGATAATATCAATACATATTTACGATAGTTGGGTTACTATAACACATGGAGATATTTACCATAACGGTATAGTAAACTACTTAGTAAGAAGTTACTATAATATCGTAAATTAATATAGTAATTATCGTAACCCAAAATGGCTACAAAATAAGTTATTTTGTAGCCAGCTACAGGATAGTCGTTATATATAAAGACACACACACGTTGGTAAGAGATGAAGTGGCTAGCAATTCGATATTGCTAAGCGTTCTAGTGTGTTTCCAAGGAATTTTTTTTGTGGTCAATTGAGTCCAGCTTCTTTTGAGATATTGAAGTAGACCAAATTTGATGTAAAAGGGAGCATGAGTTGGAGACAAAAATTTTGCTTGTCCGGGGGAGACCACGCCAGAGCCAAGGGCGGAGCTCGCCTGCCTGGCCACGCTCGGAGCGCCGCCTCACCTCCACGCCTAGAGCGCTGCCTCGCCCCGTCACCTCCCACACGCGGCCCCTAGGGCCGCCACCTCCTACGCGCTCGCCCCGCCTGCATGTGGCTCGCCCTGTGCGCCGCCTCCACTTCTTCGCGCGCAACGGCCGTCCCACCTAGGCTCGCCCCCGTTCGCCCGATTCACAAGTGCAGGGACGTCCCTCACGGACGGACCCGCTCTCCCTCGCCCCTCAACCAAATAGCATAAAAAAGGGATCATCTCACCCCGTCCCACCCCATCCACCAACCAAACACTACCTACGAGTCCAACGCTAAACCAGACCTAGGATGTCAATGGACAAGAGTTAATTCTCTCCCATGGCGCAAAGACATCTGCCATGTTCGTTTGTCTGATAAGCCATGGCTGAAAGTACTGCTTTGGCTGATTTGTTATGAGAGAAAAATACTGTTCGTTGACTGAAAAAATACGGCTTATAAGTCAAGCGAACAGGAGATGGTTCTATGAACTCCATACCGGATTCCCACGTTCCCGACTTAGTTTTCCCAACACATATAGAGAGACACGTAGATATCACTATAAAGGGCCGGCTCTCAGGGGGGCAAGAGAGGCGGCCGCTCCAACTAAAGCCAATGTGCCCCTCAAGTATGTACTCTTATATAGATAATTAGTAGCTAGCCCAAAAATGAAACTACCGAAGACTAAATTGGACCGCACGTCCGCACAGAAACAGAATTGATGCAAATTTGCAGCTGATCAGTTCACACAGAATTGATGGCATGAGTAGCGACGCCGCCACAATTTCTAAATTAATTTCTGAATACAAAATCCATCTATCCACATCATGTTGCAATATTATTATTATTATTATGTGAAGACTGACCGTGTAAATATGGAACTAGTTACTAGAATTGTTATTATTCGAGTTGGCTATAGCGTCAGCTGAAAGAGCCTTTTTTTAAAAGTAAAATTGTTATTTTTTTTAAATCTACAATATCTCTGTTTCAAGAGAGGTTAAATAGTTTGGGGAAGAAATTTTTAGATGAGAGATCAATATTGATGTCATCATCTGCGACTTTGCATTAAGAAACGTTAGAAGACAATTTTAAGACAACTTAATATGTGCCGTTTTATATTTTTAGTATTTATGTCTTAGGGCCCGGAGTGTTTAAGGTCACGAAATCCTCAGGACTGGCATACCTGTGCCAAAGCATTAACAATAGATTATGGCCCCATTTAAATGACAGAAACGTTTGGGATTCTCAGGTAAATCACTAGAATCGCTGCCAAACACCTAAATAGGTGACAGAAACATTTTGGATTCTCGTAGAAACGTTTCTCGTTTTTTTTTTACTAGGAA